GGATGCAAAGGAGGACTCGATCCACGAGGCTATAAGCACAATCGCGCCATGGCACATCGCAATTCAGCACGGCGCAGCACAGCACTGATTTCGGCACGGTACATCAAGGTCGATGCACTCAGCATTGCAACTTGGCACGTTCCTTGGCACGTTCCGTGGGGCGTCCTTTGGCGAGTCCCCCTGGCACGTCGCGTGGCGCGTCCCCTGGCACATCCCGTGGCACATCCATTGGCACGTTCCGTAGCGCGTCCCCTTGGCACGTCCCGCGGTGCGACCCCATGGCACGTCCCCTGGCACGTCGCCTGGCGCATCCCTTGGGACGTTTCGCGGCGCGTCCTCCTGGCATGTTCCCCTGTCCATTAGCTCTGGGGCAGCTACTATGTGTTCAGGCAGCTCGAGCTTAAGATCCAGATCAGTTCGGTCAGGACTCGGATGCAAAGGAGGACTCGATCCACGAGGCTATAGAGCACAGTCGCGCCATGGCACATCGCAATTCAGCACGGCGCAGCACAGCACAGCCCTCGGCAGGGTACATCAAGATCGATACCTTCAGTATTGCATTTGCCCGTCACCCAATCAGGTGTCTTTGAAAACGCTGCCATGTGTTACAGTTCTACATTCCTTTCCGGGTTCGTGGGTCGATCATGTTGAGAAGGCCCGCCCCTTCTCACTTCTCCCCCGCGCGCCCGCCAAGTGTTTCGTGGAGGCGTTGAGGCCAGGAGGGCGAGGAGGACGAGGAGGAGAAGGAGGAGGAGGAGGAGGAGGAGGAGCAGGAGGAGGAGGAGGAAGACGAGGAGGAGGAGGAGGAGGAGGACGGAGGAAGACGAGGAGGAGAGGAGCAGGAGGAGGACGAGGAGGAGCAGGAGGAGAAGGAGGAGGAGGAGGAGGAGGAGGAGGAGGAGGAGGAGGAGTACGAGGAGGAGGAGGAGGAGGAGGAGGAGGAGGAGGAGGAGGAGGAGGAGCAGGAGCAGGGGCAAGAGGGGGCCCGAGATCCAGGCGCTGCAGATTTTTCGCATCGGGCATCTTCGCGCGGCTTCGGGTCCCCCCGGGGCCATCGCCGATGGATCCGGCTCGACAACGCAGCAGAACGAGGGGGTCTGGGGCTCCAGTGGTGATTTTTCGCAGTGTTGCCATGCTTTTCGTGACGCCTGATTTCACGGGAAAGGGGAGGGAAGAGGAGGGCAAGGGGAGGCCAGCGGAGACGTCGTCGTCGCGGCTGGACTCGCCTCGATATCCTGAGCAGGGCGCACCCTTGCAGAGGTCAGGGGAGCAGCGGCATCGGTTGGAGACGGCTGGGGAGTCTGAGGTGGCCCGGCGCTGGTTCCGGCCAGCAGAAACGGAGGGAAGAGGTTTGAGGTCCTGGGTTCGGGAGGGGTTTGCCGTTTCCTGCCTCCAGGGGCCGTTGTCGGACCCTGGGGCCGTCAGAAGCAGATCCGGAGCGACAAACTACCATTCAGGCGGGAACTGGCCCAACCCCCGTCCGTGTGGTCAGAATCGAAGACGCCTAATTACGGCGCATCACCGCCGCCCACTGCCTATTAGGAGGCGCCTCTATAGCTAAACGTTGGGCCCCAGCTTGGCAAAGCTATCGGACTATGTGTTCCCCGAGCCGCTCTGAAAACTCTTGGGGGAACACATTGGGGAGGATGAGAGGAAGGATCAGGAGAGGGAGAATGTGGAGGAGGAGGAGGAAGAGGAGGAGTAGGAGGAGGAGGTCTCTAGGGAGCCACTTGAGGCGCTATTGGGGCTTCCTAGGAGCTTCCTGGGCGCCTCTTGAAGGCGTCTTGGGGGCCTCCTTGGGCCTCTTGGGGGCCTCTTGGGGGCCTTCTTTGGGGCCCCTCTGAACCGATGGAGTCCTCTTGGGGTGCTTCATGGCCGTCTTGGAGGCCATCTTTGGCGTCTCGGAGGCCTCTTGGGCCCTCTTGGGGCCCTCTTGGGGCCGTCTCTGGGGCCTCTTGGGCCGTTATGGGGCCATATTGGAGGCTTCTTGGACGATCTTCGGGCGATCTTGGGGGCCTCTTGGGCCGGCGGAAACCCGTCGGAAGGCCGAAAAGTAGCCCATACAAGAATCTTTCAAATACCTACAGAGAATCAATGACTGTTGCCTCTTCAGGCCTTCCTTCATACCCTTTTGGAGGCCTCTTGGGCCGTCTTGGAGGCTTGGGGGCCTCTTGGGCCGTCTTGGGCCATCTTGAGGCCATATAAGGCCGTCTGGTCTGAGGTGCATCTTGGGCCGTCTTGGAGATATCTTGGAGCCATCTGAGCCGTCTTTGAGGCCATCTTGGCCGTCTTGGAGGCCATGTTGGCCGTCTTGGCGGCATCTTGGAGGCCATCTTGAGCCAAATTGGATGTCTTAGAGGCGATTGGGCTGTTTTTGCAGCGGATCGTGCGACCTTTCGGGTGGCTGGCGCGCTGGACCGAAGCCCCAGGGGGAGTCCGCCGCCCCCTGTTCGCTTGCCACAGGGTTGCCTTTCGTGCTAAATCCTATACGGGTTGGTTTTCGCTTTTTCGAAAAGATCTCCCCTGGGGCCTCGGCCCAGCGCACCGGCCACCCGGAAGGCCGCGCGATCCGCCGAAAGAATTGCCCAATCGGCTCCAAGACAGCCAAGATGGCCCAAGATGGCTGAGGCTGAGACTGAGACAGGCTGAGGCTGAGGCTGAGGCTGAGGATGAGGCCGAGGCAGGCCGAAGCTGAGACAAGGTGAGGCAGAATTGGGGGGGGATGGGGAAGGGGGGGGGAGGAGGGGGGGCTGAGGCAGTTTGAGGCCGAGGCAGGCTGAGGCTGAGGCAGGCTTGAGGCTGAGGCTGAGGCAGGTGAGCTGAGGCTGAGGCAGGTGAGGCTGAGGCTGAGGCTGAGGCTGATGCAGGCTGGGGCTGAGGCAGGCTGAGGCAGGCTGAGGCTGAGGCTGAGGCTGAGGCTGAGGCTGAGGCTGAGGCAGGCTGAGGCTGAGGCAGGCTGAGGCTGAGCTGAGGCTGAGGCTAGGCTGAGGCTGAGGCAAGCTGAGGCTGAGGCTGAGGCTGAGGCTGAGGCTGAGGCTGAGGCTGAGGCAGGCTGGAGGCAGACTGAGGCTGAGGCTGAGGCTGAGGCTGAGGCTGAGGCAGGCTGAGGCTGAGGCTGAGCAGCTGAGCAGGGTGAGGCTGAGGCTGAGGCTGAGGCTGAGGCTGAGGCAGGGATGTGGTGAGACAGGCTGAGGCTGAGGCTGAGGCAGGCTGAGGCAGGCTGAGGCTGAGGCAGGCTGAGGCTGAGGCCGAGGCAGGCTGAGGCCGAGACAGGCTGAGGCTGAGGCTGAGGATGAGGCCGAGGCAGGCCGAAGCTGAGACAAGGTGAGGCTGAACGGGGGGGGAAGAGAGGGGGAGGGGGGGGGGAGGAGGGGAGGCTGAGGCAGGCTAAGGCCGAGGCAGGCTGAGGCCTAGGCAGGCTGAGGCCGAGGCAGGCTGAGGCCGAGGCCGAGGCAAGCCGAGGCAGGCTGAGGCTGAGGCTGAGGCTGAGGCAGGCTGAGGCTGAGGCAGGCTGAGGCTGAGGCTGACGCAGGCTGAGGCCGAGGCAGGCTGAGGCTGAGGCTGAGGCAGGCTGAGGCTGAGGCCGAGGCAGGCTGAGGCTGAGGCTGAGGCAAGCCGAGGTAGGCTAAGGCTGAGGCTGAAACTGAGGCAGGCTGAGGCATCCGTAGGAATCCATAGGAATTCTCCCTAGGAATCCTTAGGAATCCGTAGGCATCCTTAGGATTCCGTAGGCATAGTTAAGCATCCTCAGGAATCTTTAGGAATCCTTGGGATTCCTCAGGAATCCTTAGGAATCCTTCGGAACCCCTAGGAATCATAATTCCTAAGGTTTCCCAAGGAGTCCGATGGATTCCCAAGGATGCCTAAGGATGCCTCAGGAATCCCTAGGAATCCTTGGGATTCCATTGAATCCTAAGGGCGGTGCCACTGTGACTGTCATTGCGAATGCGACTGCGACTGCGAGAACAGCATAATTCTACAACTGGATTCTCACCTGAATCTTAAGGGGAATGCTTCCTGATATGCTTATACACATTGCTGTTAGGTTGCTTCGCCGGGATATTAAACAAATGTTGAACACATATTCTTGTATAGGCTACTTTTCGGCCTTTCGACGGCCCAAGAGGCCCCCAGGATCGCCCCAAGATCGCCCCAAGATCGCCTCCAAGAAAGCCTGATGACGGCCCAAGAGGCCCCCAAGACGGCACCAAGAGGGCCCCAAGAGGGTCCAAGAGGCCTCCAAGACGGCCATGAAGCACCCCAAGAGGGCTCCAAGTCGGTTCAGAGGGGCCCCAAAGAAAACCCTAGAGGCCCCCAAGAGGCCCAAGGAGGCCCCCAAGACGACGTCAAGAGGCCCCCAGGAAGCTCCCAGGAGGCCCCAAGAGTGCCCCAGGAGGCTCCCAAGAGTGCTCCAAGTCGGTTTGGAAAAAAAGCTCCCTAGACGGCTCCTGACGGCGTCACGACACGCGTTTCCTGACGTCTCCTGCACTTTACTGCGCCTTATTGCAGGTCTCGCTGCACCTTACTGCAGGTATCCGTGCACCTTACTGCACGTTTTCACACGCTCTGCTGTACCTGACTGCACCTTACTGCACCTCATCTGGAGGGCATCCGCGCGGGGCGTCGTCGACGCGCCCGTCGTCGCCAGACCGTCCTCTTCCTGCCTCCCATACCTCATCATCATCCAGCGCCGTCGCCCTCCCGACCGTCGCCCTCAGTAGCGTTCTGGTCAAGCCCGGGACGCCGCCAGCGTTCCAGGTTCACGGCGCGCGGGGCCCCCAGGCGCCGCCGACTTCTTCTGAGCTCGGGCGGCGCCGCTGCCGCCATGGCCCAGTGGGTCGCGCAGGCTCCCGCCGCGCAGCTGCGCGCGCCCCGCGAGGCCCCCCAGAAGTACGAGCTGAGGGAGGCTGCCAGCGCGGAGCTCAACAAGAAGCTGGAGGGCTGGTCCACGAGCTCGTGACGTCGAACGGCCAGCTGGAGGCGGCGGGCGGCATCCGCAGCAATCTCACCGCTCAGCACGAGAAGAAGTGGGAAGAGAACAAGGCGGAGCTTGCCACGCTGGAGGCGGAGGCGGTCCGCGTGGCCATGAAACACAAGGTGGAACCGCGGATGCTCGCGCACGACCTGCTCACCCTCGACAAGCGGACAGCATTATGCGGCCTGGCCTTGGAGGAGCTGCAGGAGTGCGACGGCTTGCATGTCATGGCCGCCTCCGCGGGCCTGGGCTACTTCAAGCTGGTGGACGACCTGTGGTCGCACGGTCGTGGCCACTTTGCCATGGTGTTGGCCGGCCAGGTGATCGCCAAGACGGCGGCGGAGTGGAACCAGAAGCGCGCCGCGTCGGGGCCTTGCGTCCCGCTCCGCTTCGGCAGGAGACGAGTTCGCCTTCCTGCTCGCGCCCGCGGTGGAGGGCGGCGCCGCCCAGGCAGCCGCGGGGGGGCTGAGCGAGGAGATCCGCGGCAAGGTGACCGAGTGCGCGAGGAAGCACTTTAGCTTCGCCGCGCTGCCAGACGGGAGGGCGGACGAGGAGCGCGCCGGCGCCCAGATCCATGCCGAGGGGCCCGCGATCTCCATCGGCGTTTCCAGCGCGCTCCATCGGAGCGGGTCGGACAAAGTCGCGCTCCACCCGGGGTGCCTCCAGGCGGACGCGGCCCTGGAGAACGCGAAGCACGAGTCCAAGGAAGGCGAGGACCCCGGCGGCGGCATCATCTTCGCGGACGACCTGCTGCAGCCCACGGTCCGCGAGGCGGCCGCTGCCGCGAAGGTGTTTCAGGACATGCGCGCCGCGCCCGACGCGCACGGCGAGGCGGCCGTCGCGCTGCAGAGCCTGGCCGTCGACGCCGACAACAAGAGGAGGGCCGCGGCCGTGCTAGGGGCGTTCGAGGGCCTGGAGCGGCCCCTGGGCGCCGCGGCGCCCGCGGCGCAGGGGGAGGCCGGCGAGCTGAAAAACCTCCAGGCATACAACGCCGACGGCCTGAGGAGGATCGCAGCCGTGCCGGGACGCCCGTGGCGCGGAGAACGGGGCCAGCGCGCTGCAGAACCTGGCCGTCGACGCCGGCAACCGCAGGAGCGGCCGTGCCGGGGGCGTCCCAGGGCCCGCGGCGCGGCTCCCCCGAGCGCCGGGACGCCCGCGGCGCAGGAGAAGGCGGCCACCGCGCTGCGGAGCCTGCCTGGCCGCCGACGCCGACAACCAGAGTGGGATCGCGGCCGCGCTGGGGGCGCTCGGGGGCCTGGCGCGGCTCCCGGGCGCCAGGGCGCCCGCGGCGCAGGAGAAGGCGGCCGCGGAGCCTGCCCGCCGACGCGCGCTGGGGGCGCTCGGGGGCCTGGTGCGGCTCCTGGGCGCCGGGGCGCCCATGGCGCAGAAGCACGCGGCCGGCGCGCTGCGGGCTCGTGGCCAGCGACGCCGACAATAAGAGGGCGTTGAGGCGGCCCGCGGGGCCCGCGGACCGCCTTGCGCTCCGCAGCGGGCCGGGCGCGCTTCTGAGGTGAGCGTGGGGGGGCCCCGGCCGGGGGGCCCAGCCGAGCCGGATCCCTCTCCGACGAAAGTCGTTGAAGCATCGCTCGGGGGGAGGACGAGGAGGAGGACAAGGCACGAGGACGAGCAGCAGGAAAAGGGATAAGGAATAGTTGGACAAGGGAGGAGGAGTAGGAGTAGGAGTAGGAGTCAAGCTAGCCAGCTCGAGCGAGTCAAGCATGGCATGCCCAGTCCCACCCGCCCTCCCACAACATAAGAAGCAAAGCTGGCACAACTGTGGGCCGAAGTCACACCGGCCAGCCGGTTTGGTACAGCTGATGCGGCCGCGATGGCGGTTGCCGTCGGGATCTGGCGAGCGCGTGTTGAATGCCGCGCACGCATTGCCAGACGAGTCGAGAATGGCCCGGTACACCGCAGGAAGCCAGAGGTGGCCGGAGGAAGCCCGACGGTCTGACAGGACACCCCAAAGAATTTTTGTGAAAAAGCATTGGGTTTTTGATGTTTTTATGTTGAAATGCTTGCAGAAACACAGTATTCGGTAGGATTCTGACATGAACGCGCGAGTGTGCTCTTTGTAGTATTTTTTGCACAGGATTCGCGGCCTGGGTGCATGACAGAGCATCGCGAGTGCACCGCGCGATGACGTGAAATCGCTGGATTCGACCGAATTCTTAAGATTCCTATGGTTTTCCTATGATTTCAGCAAGAGAGCCCGGGCGGGAAATTTGTATATTTTTTTGTGAAAAAGCATTGGGTTTTTGATGTTTTTATGTTGAAATGCTTGCAAACACACGGTGTTCGGTAGGATTCTGACATGAACGCGCGCGTGTGCTCTTTGTGGTATTTTTTGCAATGGATTATCGCCGTGGACGACAGGACGTCCACGTCGAGAGGAAAAAATAAGAAACATGTTGATTTTGTATTGTTTTTTACAGGTTAGGATGGGACCACCCGGATGCGGCCCCTATCGGCCGGCCTGAGGGGGGAGTAGGAGTATATTCTAATAAGGAATAAGGATAAGGAATAAGGATAGGAGTAGGAGTAGGAAGCAGGGAGTGTAGGAGTTCAAGCCAGCCAGCTCGAGCGAAGTTTTTAAAGCATGGCATGCCCAGTCCCACCCGCCTCCCACAACATAAGAAGCAAAGCTGGCACAACTGGGGGCCGAAGTCACACCGGCCAGCCGGTTTGGTACAGCTGATGCGGCCGCGATGGCGGTTGCCGACGGGAACTGGCGAGCGCGTGTTGAATGCCGCGCACGCATTGTCAGACGAGTCGAGAATGGCCCGGTACACCGCAGGAAGCCAGAGGTGGCCGGAGGAAGCCCGACGGTCTGACAGGACACCCCAAAACATTTTTGTGAAAAAGCATTTGGTTTTTGATGTTTTTATGTTGAAATGCTTGCAAACACACGGTGTTCGGTAGGATTCTGACATGAACGCGCGAGTGTGCTCTTTGTGGTATTTTCTCCACAGGATTCGCGGCCCGGGTGCATGACAGAGCATCGCGAGTGCACCGCGCGATGACGTGAAATCGCTGGATTTGACCGAATTCTTAAGATTCCCCTGGTTTTCTTATGATTTCAGCAAGAGAGCCCGGGCGGGAAATTTGTACAATTTTTTGTGAAAAAAACATTGGGTTTTTGATGTTTTTATGTTGAAATGCTTGCAAACACACGGTGTTCGGTAGGATTCTGACATGAACGCGCGCGTGTGCTCTTTGTGGTATTTTTGCAATGGATTATCGCCGTGGACGACAGGACGTCCATGTCGAGAGGAAAAAATAAAAAAATGTTGATTTTGTATTGTTTTTTACAGGTTAGGATGGGACCACCCGGATGCGGCCCCTATCGGCCGGCCTGAGGGGGGAGTAGGAGTATATTCTAATAAGGAATAAGGATAGGAGTAGGAGTAGGAGTAGGAGTAGGAGTTGGAGTCAAGCTAGCCAGCTCGAGCGAGTCAAGCATGGCATGCCCAGTCCCACCCGCCCTCCCACAACATAAGAATCAAAGCTGGCACAACTGGGGGCCGAAGTCACACCGGCCAGCCGGTTTGGTACAGCTGATGCGGCCGCGATGGCGGTTGCCGACGGGAACTGGCGAGCGCGTGTTGAATGCCGCGCACGCATTGCCAGACGAGTCGAGAATGGCCCGGTACACCGCAGGAAGCCAGAGAGGTGGCCGGAGGAAACCCGACGGTCTGACAGGACACCCCAAAGCATTTTTGTGAAAAAGCATTGGGTTTTTGATGTTTATGTTGAAATGCTTGCAAACACACGGTGTTCGGTAGGATTTTGACATGAACGCGCGAGTGTGCTCTTTGTGGTATTTTTGCACAGGATTCGCGGCCTGGGTGCATGACAGAGCATCGCGAGTGCACCGCGCGATGACGTGAAATCGCTGGATTTGACCGAATTCTTAAGATTCCTATGGTTTTCCTATGATTTCAGCAAGAGAGCCGGGCAGGAAATTTGTAGAATTTTTGTGAAAAAGCATTGGGTTTTTGATGTTTTTATGTTGAAATGCTTGCAGACACACGGTGTTCGGTAGGATTCTGACATGAACGCGCGAGTGTGCTCTTTGTGGTATTTTTTGCAATGGATTATCGCCGTGGACGACAGGACGTCCATGTCGAGAGGAAAAAATAAGAAAAATGTTGATTTTATATTGTTTTTACAGGTTAGGATGGGACCCCCCGGATGCGGCCCTATCTGCCGGCTGGGGGTGGAGAGTAGAAATATATTCTAATAAGGAATACAGGATAGGAGGAGGAGGAGGAGGAGGAGGAGGAGGAGAGGAGGAGGAGGAGGAGGAGGAGGAGGTGGTGGAGGGGAGGAGAGGAAGAGGAGGAGGAGTGGAGGAGGAGGAGGAGCGGCGGAGAAGGACGGAGAGGAGGAGGAGGAGGAGGAGGATTGCCGCTGCACTGCTCTGATATGATTCCTGGCAGCCGTCGAGTACGGCACGGCCGCCAGGCCGCGGTCGAGCACGGCGCAAAACCAGACGAGCACCGCACAGGACTGGTCATACATGTGGTGCTGCCCGCACCAAGATGCGGGAGGAGGAGAAGGAGAAGGGGATTGGGGGAGGGAGAGGAGGAGGAGGAGGAGGAGGAGGAGGAGGGAGGTGCAGGAGGAGGCGGAGTAGGAGGAGGAGGAGGGAGGAGGAGGAGGAGGAGGAGGCGGAGGGGGAGGAGGAGGAGGATGAGGAGCGGAGGAGGAGGAGGAGGAGGAAATAGGAGGAATAGGAGAAGAGAAGGATTAGGAGGAATAGGAGGAATAGGAGAATCGTGAGGATAGGCGGCGGAGGAATGAGGATGAGGAGGAGGCGGAGGAAGCGAGGAGGAGGAGGAGGAGGAGGAGGAGGAATCGGAGGAGGGGGAGGAGGAGGTGGAGGAGGGGGAGGAGGAGGAGGAGGGTGAGGAGGAGGAGGAGGAGGAGGAGGAGGAGGAGGAGGAGGAGGAGGAGGAGGAGGAGGGGAGGAGGAGGCGGAGGAGGAGAGGGGAGGAGGCGGAGGAGGAGGAGGAGGAGGAGGTCGACGACGTCGACGACAAGACGGCCACCCCTCTGCGGGGGAGGCCTCCCGCCAGCCGCGGCGCGCCCGCGGACGCCCAGGCGCGCCGCCGCCTGGGGTGGGGCGGTCCCGCGCTCCCGCGGGCGCGGTGGGCCGTCGTCCGCCTCGGCCTCCTGGTCGCGCGGTAATCGCCCGCTGGCCTGCGTCCGCCTCGGCTTCCTTCCTTCTCCTCGGTCTCCTCCTCCTCCTCCTCCTTCTCCTCCTCCTCCTCGGTCTCCTCCTCCTCCTCCTCCTCCTCCTCGGCCGCCCTCCTTTTCCTCCTTCTCGGCGTCCTCGGCCTCCCTCCTCCGCAGCGTCCTCGGCCTTCCTCCTTCTCGGCCTTCTCGGCCTCGTGCTCCTTCTCCTCGGCCTACTTGGCCTCCTCATCGGCGCATCGGGCGTTTCGCCCGAGACTTCCTCACCATGTATGACCCGGAAGCTTAACCATTGGCAACAGCTCCGCAGATGGAGGGCGGGCCGTTTTCAAAATGCTCGCCTGAGCGCCGCGCACATTCGTTGTTTTATACATCGCTTGCAAGAGCTTTACGGACCGAGGGCGGGCCGTTTTCAAAATGTGGTTCTCGCCTTCAGCGCCGTGCGCACTCCTTGTAATTTGTAAGCAATTGCAAGAGCTTCACAGATGGAGGGCGGGCCGTTTTCAAAATGTGGCTCTCGCCTTAGCGCCGTGTGCGCTCGTTTGAAAGATTTGTAAGAGCTTCGCAGAGTGAGGGTGCGTCATTTTCAAAGTGTGGTTCTCGCCCTAACACCGCGCACATTCGCTGCAAAATTTTGCAAGAGCTTCACGGATGGAGGGCGGCTCGTTTTCAAAACGTGGTTCTCGCTGTCGCGCCGCGCGCACCCCTTGCAAACAAGTGCAAGAGTTTCACGGACTCCCACGGTCAAGGTATCAGAAAAAGATGTTTGGGAACAATTTTGGATTATGAGGGCACAACAGTTACGTTGACTCGTGGTGTTAAAGTCCCAGGAGTGGCGTTCTGGTACAATTCAGGATCGTCAAGATGCAACAGTCAGGTTGGTCCGTGGCGTTGGAGTCCCGAGAATCATGTTTTGAAATGCCTCAGGGTCTTCAAACGGTTGTCTTCCAACCAGGCAGTTCCCTCAGTGGGAATGAACTCGTGTAGGGGCCTATGAAGAGGGAGCTCAGAGGGAGGGTTTATGCCAACATCGTTGATGACTGCTGGGTTTACACTGGTTCCTCCCCCTCCTCCGCCTCCCCCTCCTCCTCCTCCTCCTCCTCCTCCTCCCCCTCCTCCTCCTCCTATTATTATTATTATTCCTCCTCCTCCTCCTCCTCCTCCTCCTCCTCCTCCATTCCTTTCACTTACAAGCGGCTCTCCCCTGTCGTGCCCTCCGCGTGTCGGCAGGGCGGGCCGGGCGTTTCGCCTGAGCCTTCCTGACCACTTCTGATCCTGGAGCTTGGGGGCTGCAGTCCCTCAGGGCTTGGCGACTTTTCGCCAATCGATTTGTGGAGATCAAGCCAGAGAAATCCAGGTGAGTGCAGATAAAGCGAGG